AGTGTACATTCCTATTTAGCCAGTCTCCAAGGTCCACACACTAAATTGAAGTGTGCAAGAAAAAGGCAACTTTTTGTTTTTCTATTAACTGCCTTAAACTTCCTCATCAGCCTCCCCACTCTGAATAGCCAGGATGGACACTAGCCAATCTAAGAAACACTTAGCCTCTTGTGATTTAAACAATTTTCTTTCTGTTTAGAAGTGTTTTTCTAGGCAAATAATCAGTCCAACCTCCCCCACCCCACTTTCTCCACCTTTGCTGTCTTGGGGAGGTTATGGGGAGCTTCTGTGTCTACGTGGCTGCAAGGGCATCTTAGAGCTGAGCAGTGTCCTCTGGGTCCTTGCAGGTCTCCTCATTGATGGGGCCCCTGTTCATCAAGTCATTTCCCACCCTACAGGCAACCCCGCCAGAGACCAAGGGGCTACACCTGTGGTCTGTTGCCTGTGTACTCAGTCAGAACCCAGTGTCTCTCCCTCAGGTCCCACCTTGGCTGTCACTCTCATCAGCTCCTTGGCACTGGCTGTCCAGCTGCAGGACAGCTATTTCATTCCCATCATAGAGAGCCCCTGGTAAGCTCACCTTCCAGCACCTTCAGCGGTCTTCCATGAGCCTACTTCTGGATGCTCTCTGTGTCACGCAGGACCCTGGGAGACCTGGAGACCCCTAACCCCTCCCTCTGGAGCCTTTCATCGGGGCCTGATTGGACTTTGATTGAGTTGCCCCATATTATTGGGGGCGAAGGGGTCAGAGGCTACAGGCGACCTCTGAGGCTCCTTCTCCCTGGATCCCAACTGAGGACCAAGCTACATCCAGCTTTTGAATGGGGAGCTTTAGTCTGAAGAAACTCTTTCCACAAAATCTGACTTCCTAGACTGTTACCACGCTAAAGAGGTCGTAGAGTGAGCTGATCAATGCTCTTTGGGTTCCGATCCACAGTGTCCTTCCCTAGGGCAGAGTGCTTATGCTTAGCCTAAGAAAATGAAGATTTTAGTAGGAAATGAAAAACATTACTTTCTTGTTTTCAAAATACTGTCCCATTATACATACAAATGCCAATCTGTAAGGTGGGGAGCTAAAGACAGTGGACAGTGGACAGTGGGCAGGCAATTCTGATTTTCAACAGATTACTTAAAATGTTTGATGCCCAGATACATGTATTGCTGATAGTTATCCAGCTTGCCCATAAGGAATTATATTTCATGATTTTTTTTCAAGTCACAAAATGAATTCTCTGCTGACTTCATAACCTTCTCGGTAATCTGAGTCATTGTCCAACACACTGGGTTTAATTGGTGTTTGGGTGAAGTTGTTTTGAGACCCGATGTCCTATTGAAGTAGAAGAGCATAGTCTTCAGGCTGAAGATTCAGCAGCATCCTCATCTCTAAATGCTGAGTCCAGTTTCCCAATAGACTCTGAACTCCAACCTCCCTTCTCCCCCTTCCTGTGAATTCAACTGGAAGTTTCCCATTCCCTATCCAAGTGGCATGTACCTGTCTGCTGGTGTCTTAGTAGGAAGTAGATTATTTACTCTTATTAACGTTTCTTAGCCCTTTGGGGGCATGGAGCCCCTGTGAAAATCTAATGAAAGTCAGTAACCCTCTCCCTAGAAAAGTGTTCATGTAAACCAAAGTTTGCAAACAATATCAGGAGCCTACAGAAGCCCATCCACAGAACCTGTGTTAGCTAAGACCCCCAACTTAGCATTTACTGTTCCAGTTGTCTTGGAGACTGACATTAAAATCAGGACACGGGGAAAATGTGTAAGTTTATAACACAGGCAGGGATTGCTTAACGCTTTGCAGGTTGAACACACCGATTTTTCTTTGGAGATATAAATATTTGTTAATTTACTTGATAAATTTTCCATGGACAAATATTACTAAGTTGTTTTGGAAGCTCTGGTGGCTTTTGATAACGATGCTTCCATCCATGTTCATGGTATCATGTCTCCTAGGTGTCAGATCCCTGTGGATGTGATTACAGAGTCTTTATTGAACTCTAGTGCCATCATTTAGAATTAATACAATTTTCAATGCTCAAATATAACTTGAGGTATATCCTGATAATCTTTGGGATTCCATTCTTTAAGATACTGCTCAGGTATCAACTATTCCAATTTCCCTTCCCTGACAACCTTTACTTCAACCAACCATGTGACGGCTCTTTCTCTGAGTCTCATCAAACCCTCACATTTGTGTACGTTGTACCCCGGTGTGTTACAGCTGTCTGGCTAGACGTTCCTCTCTCCACCACACCGTGAACTCTACCAGAGCAGGAAGGGTGTCGCTCTCACCTTTGAGCTCCAGTGGCCAGCACAGAGCCCAGCCCATGGTAGATACTCAATACATGTTTGCTGAATGGAGACTGAATCAGCATTGACTAACGCTTCCTCAATTCTCATGTGGTAAATAAATAGACAGGCCAAAGCTAAAGAAAAGGAAACTGGAGTTCAGATGAATTGATAATTCAATGTGTTAAATCTATTGAGTGAGATGGTAAGAGAAGGTTACCAGGTGTGAGTTTGTAGCCAGCTGCTGACTTCCTGGCTAATGCAGTGCATACCGCAAGAGTAGCAGCAAAAGTACTTGATAGATAAAGCTCAGTTCCTTAGCTGCTTCTTAGCCCTCTGAAGTCTGACCTAGGCCTGTTTTCTCCATCCTTTCAAGCTCCCCGCTCTTTCGATTTCTAAGCCTTACTCCTCTACAGCAAGCAGTTTCGTGCACCGCAGGTCTTATTGGTCCTGCCGCTTCCTCATCAAGAATACCTGAACTCATGTCTACATATTAAAATTTTCCTCGGGGCAGGCCTGGTGGTGCAGCAGTTAAGTTTGCACGTTCCTCTTTGGCAGCCCGGGGTTTGCTGGTTCAGATCCCGGGTGTGGACATGGCACCGCTTGGCACGCCATGCTGTGGTAGGTGTCCCACATATAAAGTAGAGGAAGATGGGCACAGATGTTAGCTCAGGGCCAGTCTTCCTGAGTGGAAAGAGGAGGATTGGCAGCAGTTAGCTCAGGGCTAATCTTCAAAAAATAAATGAATAAATAAAATAAAATTTTCCTCATCTTTGAAGAATCCGCTCAGAGGTCATTCTTCCCATATCCCTAGACAAAGGAATTCCTCCTTCTCAAGGACATTGGGAGCGCCAGTCCCTCTCCTGGGGCCCTCATTGCTTCTTGCTCAGGCCCAGAAAAAAATAGTCATTCCCAATGGACCCGTTTTCTTTTATCAATCCAGTGGTGGCTTTTTTTCGTTTCTGTCATCGGTTTCCTTCTAGTCACCTTTATATAGAGAGCTACCTTTAGCATTTGTCCAGTTACAAACTGTATCAAGCAAATTTGATGCACAAACATGAAAAAGAATGAAAGAATCTCTCTCATATCTTTTTGGCAAAGCAGAATGGTCCAGATTCTTGTTGCAAAATGTTGTGTGATGAAGCCCTTCCTGTTAAATGACTAACTGAATGAAAATATCATATATTCTTTTGTCCTTATAAATACATTGTTTACTCATCGATTCTTGAGTTTGAGAAAATTCACCTAGGACACCATTATCTGAAGGCTCTTAGTCTGAGATTTTACTTATACAATCAACTTCACCATCATTGTTAGTCTAGAGAGCTGCTGTCCTTCTCTTTGAGCTCATGATCTGAGTCATCTAATAATTGTGAAATGTTGTTCTCTGTCAGTTTTCTTCTCCTTGCCATTATGAAAAATTTTTAATTCTCAACTGTATGCAATGAAAGCTAAAAGCAAACTCAAAATGATTATGACATTTCACTATTGAATCATCCTTCTAGGCAATTCCATTCTTCTCTTTTATTATTTTAGTCTCTTTTAGCATAATTGGGAATAATTGATGAGTAACGATGAAAAATAATTCTTAGGATGATGAAATAGCAAACTATTTCAAAAGTTTGGAAAAATAAGATCACAAAGATCCCTTAATGTATTTTAGATTTGTAAGAGGGGCCAATGAACCCATATAGTAGTTGCAAAATAGAATGAGGTTGATTTTATTTAAAAAATAAGTAAATTTTCTCTTTGTTCCTTAGAAGCCGTTCAAGAAAGAATAAAATCCATGAAACATCAAGCCTTATAAATAGAACAATTCAAAGAGGAAACTCAAAAACTAAAATTGGGTCTAATGGAGCTCATGGTATGCCGAGATTCCAAGGCCAAGAATAGAGTGAGAATCCCAATCTCCATGTATTCCTGGAGTTCCCCAGGCCTGGTCAGGGCTCTGCTCATAGAGGGAGCTTAGGTGATATTCACCAAATGGATAGTAGGAGCCAGAGATGTAATTATTAAGCTGGAACTGTAATTATCAGCAGAATGTCACCCGATAGTCCTTACATATGTGCAAGGATTTTGCACCCTCTCAAAATCTTTGCCTTTTGCCTAGAATACTGTTCTTGTGTCTCTCCCTTTTAGCCGGGTTAACTGCTACACTGAGTCTTGACTCAAACATCACTTCCACAAGGAAGCTTTCCCTTACTTCCAGCCCCTCCCATCCAGTTCCCCTTAATGGGCTGTCAGAGCCTCCCCCCAGTCCCAGCCCATCCCTAACCACCCCCCCCCCCCCCCCCCCCCCCCCCCCACCGCCCCGTGACAGTTAGTGTGTAAGGTTTTAGTATCTCTCCTCCACTAGGAGGCCAGCCCGGCTGCTACTGACTAGGTTTGCTCATCCTTGCATCATCAGCACCAGCACAGTGCTGCCCATAGTGCGCGCTCAGTAAGTATTTTGTGAATGAAAAACACTGAATGAATTCAAACATTTTTCTGAGTACAGATGCTCACCTGCCTGAACCTTTCACAAAGCATTAAGATGCAGGTGTTTGAGAAAATAAAAGTAAAAGGTCAAAGCCAATCTATGGAGAAAGCAGATCAAGTAAGAGAGCTTTATTTTCCTGGACTGTCCTTTACTCAGGGGTTATTGGGAACAACAAGCAGCATGCCTGGAGCAAAGGAGTCCTCAGCTCATGGTTCTGGCTTTCACTTAGGTGTCGGGTGATTTATCGGAGACTGACATCAGCAGTGAGTCTCAGCACCCCCGGACCGGCACAGACACCACGGAGGAGAAACAGAGAAACAGGCTGTACGAGTTAGCAATGAAAATGAGCGAGAAGGAGACTTCTTCAGGGGAAGATCAGGAGTCCGAGCCCAAGACAGAGTCTGAGAACCAGAAGGAAAGTCTGTCGTCTGAAGACAACAGCCAGAGCGTGCAGGAAGAGCTGAAGAAGGTAAGGGCCCTGAAACTACCTGCAGACAGCTTGGTTCCTGCAGCTGGAGTGGGGGAGGTTTTGTATTTGCCCAGAGGTGTGCTGGGCCCCCAAAGGGCTCTCTGTGAAATCCACATCCCTGTGCGCTTGAAAGAGCCCAAGAGAACCCTTCTTGGTTAAGGCTGAGAAGTTCAATCAGGAGAACAGCGTCTTGTGTCCTGTGAAGTCTCCCAGGACCTCCTGTCTCCTTCCGCTAACTGTCCTTTGTCAAGACAGACCTTCAGTTTCGAGTCTATAATTTAGTGCCCATGATCTCTCTCCTTGGTGAAGAGCAGTGTTGTTTCGTGTCCTCTCTCCCTGAGGAATTTTGCCTGTGGATTGAGATCACCTAGCCATCTCTCTTTCAGTCAATGATGAAGCGTCACTCCATAGTGTAAAGTCTTTGTGTTAAAAGCGGCCTCTGGACCATTTACCTCTGTCGTTTTCAGATTTTTGGTTTGTTTGTCTCTGCCTCAGGATCCTTTTTCCCATAAGCCTTACATGGAATCCCAGTGTTTTAAACAGATAAAAGCACTGCTGCTCTTAGGGTTCCTGCAGTGCCAGCCACTTGTCTTCAGCCACAGCCCCTCTTCCGCTCGCCCTAAACCAGCCCTTGAGTTCCAACGGACATTGTCTGAAAACCACAGAAGACAGACCCAGACCCAACCCCTGCAGAAAGGGACCCCAGACCCCTGGCCCCCCAGTCAGTGCTCTGCCCACGTCCTCCAGCATGTGCCTGGGGTCCCTCTTCAGCTGTCCAAGCACGTTCATGCTAGACTTGGCCACTTTAGAGATGGGAGTTCCCTGCTGCCTCCGATGGAAGGGGAAGAAGCTAACGTTTGCTGAGGGTCTCCTGTGTCTGGTGCTCTGCATATGTTAGTTCATATAATAACTCTTTGAGGTAGATGCAGCCCCTTTTTGCAGATGAGGAAACTGAGGCTGAGTCTTGAAGGAACTTATCCAAGGCCCACAGCTAGTAAGTTTCAGAGCAAGTTCACAAACCTACTTGGCCTCAAATCATAGGCTCCTTCCTTTACAACAAGCTGCCTCTTCTGTAACCCAGATAAGATCTTGTCTGGTAACATCTAGATTTCTTTGCACCTCTGATCAGTTTTTTCCCTATTCTGAGAGTATCCTAGAGAAGCTAACAAGTTGCTGATAATCCATGTGTATGGGTGAATGAGCCCCCTTCATCTGCTCAGCAGTCAAGCTGGGCACAATAGAGGAACCAGGCCAACCTGGGGATGACCCCAGGTGATCAAGAGCAGGCCCAAAGGGAAGGAGGGACTGTCCTCCATGGCTAAGCCCCTGAAGCTTCAATGCTTCAGGCTCTGCCTTTCACTCATTTCATTCCCATCCTACCTTCCATAACCATCGAGGCCTCACTCATCAATCTGCCGAGTCCTCTGCCTGTGGACAGTGCACACACCTTTCCCCTGACGTGTCCGTGGGTTGGAGAGTGGAGCGTGGCCTTCACAGGCAACTCCTCCCTGGGATGTGGGCCCTAACCCATTGCTTCCTCAATGGTAATGGCTCTGATCCTCTGCTACTTGACCTGAGGCCCCATTATAGTCACATTTGTCTGCTAGAGCTGAGAGCCAGATGGTAACTGAAGAATATCACATTATTTCTTATAGTAGCTCTGGGGCCTACTGGCTTTGCTGCCTGATGGTCCCAAGGCTCCAAAAGCTCATGCTGTACCAGTGGCATGCCAGGCTGTGATGAGTCATCCACTCCCACCCCTCATCGGCTTGCAGGCCTCGCTTCTGGAACCACAGGCACCAATCTGCACTGTGCTTTCCGGGGCAGAATGTGAACAGGGAAAGGAGGGGCCACTGAGGGAGACTTCTAGGCACTTGGCCAAGCCCCCATCCGGCCTCCTGCCCTTGCTGAGTGGAGAATTAGGAGAGTTGCTTTTATTCAGACTCCCAAATGTGTCCATTTCTCAAAGTTTGTCTTTCCCTCAGCCTACTATGAATCAGTGAATTAAATATCAACCATATATCACTTGCTTATGTAAAATCCATACAGCAAACAAAAACGATCATGTATTTTTCCAAATCACGCATGGGCTACTTGATGGAGTTAAAGGAAAGCAGAAATACAGGTTTATATATTGAGTATTATTTAGAAGCAGAATGGTATAGAGATCGGCTTCAAGGTTAGACTGAATTTGAAATACAGTCATGCAATTTGCAAACTCTGGACTTTGGTTAATGTCTTAACACACTGCCACTACTTACAGCAAGCCAATGTCCTTTCTTGCCTGGTTACTATACCTCTCCTCGTAACTATTCTCCCTGTCCCTCCAGGCCTTTCTTGGCCCCTTCAGTCCTTTCTACATTCAGGCACCAGGCACTGCCCTGCAGTCCTGAACTTGCTCCCAGCATGTTAACAAGCCTGTGTCTGTCTTGTTTTTAATTTGATGCCTAGGACCCAGTCCAGGTCTTTATTGTTGATTGGATAAACACATCTTGCCCTCATCTGTAAAATGGGGATAATCATACCCCCTTATAGAGTTGCGAGGATTAAATTATGTAGCACAGGGTTAGCACATATCAGGAGCCCAGCCAATATTAATTTTCGTATCCACTTTAACAACCTCATGTAAAATAAACTTCACTGTCATGAAATAACATCCATCTGCTAGAACTGGAGGAACAACTTAGTGCCTGTTTCCAGTCAACACCTGCAGTGTCAAGCTATAGGTCTGTAACCACGTTTGGTGTTTTGTCATGCTATGCAGAATGTAATAGGAAAAACACTCCATTGGAACCTCCCAAGTTCCCATCTTCAGGATCAGAATAACTGTGACTTCCTCTGTAATCCAAGCACAGTTTGTATAGTGCGCACGCACACACACCCCCCACCCCACACACACACACACACACACACACACCATGGTTGGGAATGGATCTGGGCTAATTAACTCTTCCGGAAACTGTGAGTGCTCACCCTTATCTCTTTATCATGGTACTGCACACTGGCCCAAAGTCCAACTTCCTGAGGGCTCCAGAGGCAGCATGAGCTCCTCTTCCTGTGCAGAAGACTGGCTAGAAGTGAGAGAAATAACACTGCCGAGGAGCACTAACCAATGACTGATGGGAAGAGTGTAAATACTCCAGCTCCATTTCTCCCCTTGGGGTGGTGACTATGGGGCATGAGCTGCACACTGACTTCCCAAGTTCCGCAGCAGATTGAGCTCTAGGCACCCACAGTGATATTCAGCTTGATAAGGCAGTCTTCATTGACTCCTTTCCCTTCCCTGCCTCACTTCCCCACTTCTCTACTGCTATTTCCTGGGATCACCTCCCAAATAAACGACCTGCACTCAAATCCTTGTCTCAGGGTCTGCTTCCAGGGGAAATCAGACCAAGACAGCAGCCAAATAGGAGAAAATGTCAAGTCCCCAATTCACAAATACTCACCTTAGTGTTGTGACTAAGCAGTGAGGGAATCCAGATGCCTAATCGGTTCTAATTCCCTCTGCTTACCAAGAAGACCTTCTCGTACACAGACAGAGAGCTTTTTCCAGACTTCACTGTCTCTCCTGCCTTCACCACTGGCCCTGCTCTCCGGGAGCCAAAGCAGAGGAATGTGCATATTGCCATAGACATAGTGACATCAGTGGCAGTTCAGTGTCCTTAGTATGACAACCTTTCTAAGAATCAGGGCTTCAGAATCCTGTCCAGCAGCAGAAGAACCATTTTAGAAACTTGCTTTCTTGACTAGAGCCAGCCCTTTGCTGTAGGTACACTTGGCCTAACAGTTGGCTCACTTTGGCTGGGTGTGAGGCACCCACTGATGATGCAAGGATGGCCACTGCCATCTGAATTTTAGCTAGCTGAAGAATGAGCTTGTAGAGCTTGGGACCAGCCTAGAAACCTCCTGGGAACTGGATTCCCAAAGGGTCATGTTTTTCTTAAAGTCAGCTTGCTTCCATCAATCCTTGGTGGTCAGCCTTCCAAACCGTGGAATCCTCAGAGGCCAGGAATGAGCACTTGCTTCTCCTGTACCACTGGGCAGTGGCCATGCCAATGATTCTGGAAGAGAGTCCTAACTGAAATGGTTCTTAGAACCATGTGCCTCTAGGTATTCAGGTGCTGCTTTCCTGAAAGAGGGATGCAAAGAAGGACCAAGAATTCCTGGCCTGAGTTTAGAGACTATATTCAAGGGCTAATTCTCCCACAAACCCCCTAATCTTTCCAGGCTTGGAGTAGTGATCCCCAAGGACCCTTCTGTCTCCAAAATCCCATAGATCTAGATGGATTTAATCCATGGTTAGTGGATTAAATAGGTTTTTGTTTCCTGATATAAGTGTCACTTATGACACTGTTTATGTGACAAAAGATGTCCTATGTGACATCTTGGTGAATTCTCACGTTGTCAAATTTATACATCCAATGTCCTAAAAGCATTTTTATTTAAAGTCTCTTTGTTTATTAATTTTTATCACAAGTATCTGAATCATTGTGCTTTATGTTCACAAGGGAGTCACAGACCAACAGACATCTCCCATATTTATACTTTCATGGAATAATTCTCATCAAAGTACTAAGACTTCTCTAAACTAATAAATATCTTTCTTCTCAAACAAGAGACTAATCTGTGCATCTTCTCATGGCTGCTCCTCGTTTACTAACATCAGCTACATGGAAACAAAAGCCTGGTCAACAGTCAAGGAGACAGATTTACTGGCTGTTGTCTGAGAAAACCCAGAGCTTTGGGTTTCTGAAGTTTAATGCACTTGTGAAAAATTGTTGTTGCTGTCACAGTGTTAACATAAAATCAAGTATTGTTGTGCACTCGTGTCTCACTCTTGTGAAGTAAGTCACCATTCACATGAGGATTCATTGTCTTTCATCCCAGGTAGCATTTTATTTGAGAAGAGTGTCTTCATCTTCACTTGGTGTTAAACTGAATATAGTGTTAGATATTGACTTATATCTTACAAGCAGCGTTGATCTCATCAGGCCTTATGC